GAGACCACACACACACACACACACACTCACTCGACAAGACTGACGGACTCGACGGATGCAAACAAAAGTAGCGGAGTCTCAAAGTCAGAGTCTTCGAATCTCAATGCCGGAGGGGCAAGTCACACAAAGCAAGCACTGTGGCGGAAAACTGGTTGCCCGTACTGGGCTCAAGTCCGGTCTTAAGTACCGGACGCAAGTTCAGTCCCGAGGGCAGAAGTGCAATTTGCCTCAGGGCTGAACTGAAAATCGAAGGTCTGAGTCTGGGCACCAGAATGCAGGATGGCGCCAAGTATCGAAATCCGAATGTGCCAAAGGAGGAATTTGAGAACGGGCGCCGACTGCAGAGGGCGCCAACAGTCGGGGACCTGAGAACAGAAACCCAAAAATGAAATAGCAGCGTGGCGGGTGGTAACCCGCGGACCAGGGATTGAGCCCTGGCTGAGTCCGTAACACTATTCCCTCCCTCTGGAAGGCAACGTCCCGGCTGCCAAAGACCTGATGAACAACCATGAAGGACGGGACGGGGCCGATCACTGGTCAGAAAAGGAAAGGAGTAATGCAAGTAACAGGGTAATTTTACTGATGTTCTACAAGGGTGAAGGTATCAATGTTCAGGTAACAGGTTAGTTGAGGTTCAACAAGGTTGAAGTAACAGGTAACAGGGCAATACTATTCATGTTCTACGGGGATGAGGGAATCAATGCTCAAGTAACAGGGTAATCCTATTGAGGTTCCACAAGGGTGAGGGTAGCAATGTTTAGGTAAAACAGGGTAATCCTATTGAAGTTCTACAAGGTTGACGGTAGCAATGTTCAACTAACGGGGTGATCCTATTGAGGTTCTACAAGTAACAGGGCAGTCCTATTGATGTTCTACAAGGTTATAGGTTGTCAGGTTTGAGAAAAAGAAAAAGAAAAATTGTTTGTTCAATGCTCAAGGGCTGGGGTGTCTGAAGGATCTGGGAAAACAAAGTCTCAGGTCTGTAACAAAGTGTCAAAATGCGAAAAATATCTTGAGAAAGGTCTTCGGGGGTCTTGATCACGTCCTGGATAGGTGAGAGAACTGGTCTTCAGCGGCTGCAACAGGTAGCTGTCGAATGTCCAAGCTGCAGGAAAGTGAAGTAGGAGTACAAGTGTCCAAAGTCCAAGTCCTGGAGTGCATCCGGTTCATCAACTGCAAGGAGGTCTGATCCAGTAGCAAGGAAATCGCAGACTGATGCAAAGGTCCAGATCACATGTCGCTTCTCCAGTAAATCCACGAGTCCAGATGCCGGCCAAGGAAACAGCATGGTGGCCAAACCAGCTGCATTATCTCCATGATCATGAGGCAGCAGGCCATCGTCCTCGTGCGCTTGCCATTAGATCCTTTATCGCCGGCGTCACGTAGGTCCACAACCATTGGACAAGGGAGACAGAGAGTGTGGTAGAGGACAGATGGGAAGGACTAGGCTGAGGCAAGGGCGGATCAGACAGTGAGAGATCAAGATCAAGGGTAGCGGTTAGGCTGTGTTCAGGGGTGGTGTGTGTTGAGTAGGTATGTACAGGTCGAGGCATAGGCAAGTTGATAGTTATGAGACAGGGTGGGTATGATCATAGGCACGGACGAGTTCATGGTGTTCTTTAGATTTGCAACTTGCAAGGGGTTCCCATGTCGATTCTTCGTCTGGGTATCCTGTCCATTTTACTTTGTATTCTGTGATAGGCTCGGGGTGGTTGGATGCTTGAGTTGTTCTACGGCCGATGATTGATTCCACGGAGAATTCAGAACCGGTGGGAAGCATGATAGGTGTTGGACGAGGATGAGGGCGATCAGAGAACTGGGGAGGTGATTCGTGTGATTCTTTCAAGTATTCTACATGGAAGACAGGATGGACGTGGTTCATGTCAGGAGGGAGTTGGAGCTTGTAGTTTACAACGGATGTTTTTTCAATGATGGGGAATGGACCGAGCCACTTGTTCGAGAGTTTCTTGGACAAGCCTTGTTCGGGATCAAAGCGTTTGGCGGATAGCCAGACTTTGTCCCCAACATGGAAAGTGACGTCACGGCGATGTTTGTTTGTTTGGCTTGTTGTTCCTGAGTTCATTGAATAGATTCGGTGGCTTCTCTTAGGAGGCGGTTCATTGTGGCATTCATTGAGAGAGGAGCAGGGAGTAGATGGGTTGAGTTGTGAGGGGAGCAAGAAGTCAGAGGGCAAGCGAGGGTGGTAGCGAAGGTCGAGGTAGAGAGGAGACGTGCCAGTGGAGGGGCAGACAACGCTGTTGTAGGCGATCTCGGCAGCGGAGAGGAGCTGGTCTCAGTCGTGCTGATGGTGATGACAACACTTCTGAAGGATGCGTTGGAGAGTATCATTCATCTTCTCTGTCTGGCCATCAGTCTTGGGGTGGAAGGCGGTGTTGTACTTTAGGGTGGTCCCGTATTCCTTGAAGAGATTTCTCCAAAACTGTGAGAGGAATCGAGAGTCACGATCGCTGATGATGTTTTCTGGGAGACCATGATGACCGGTGACAAGGTCGAAGAAGAGTTTGGCAACGTCCTTGGCTTGGCAGGTGGTGGTGCAAGGGATGAAATGGGCACGCTTGGTAAGGCGGCAGACAACGACATAGATGCAATCGTGACTATGCTCGGTTGTGGGGAGACCACAAACGAACCACGGAGACAGATTGCCAGCAGTGGGTGGGTACGGGGAGAGACTGAAGTTTGCCAGCCTTAGCAGCTTGGTTGGAGGGATTGACGGCTTGGCAAGTAGGGCAAGAATGGATGTATGCTTTGACATCGGCAAGGAGCGAGGGCCAGTAGAGGTAACGGGATATACTGTCAAAGGTTTTCTGGAAACCGAAGTGTCCGTCAGTCTTGGCGTCGAAAGGGATGCAAAGGCGGCGGGTTCCTTTGGTGTCGATGTAGAGGAGGTCGTCGATGAGGGAGTAGTCGGGGACAATGTCAAGGTCGCGGAGTCTGGAGTAGGTAGGGGCGAAGTCGGAGCAGGAGGCGTGGCCATGGGTGAAACGATGTCGAAGAGATTGGGGGAGGTTAACATGGGTCATGACAGTGAAGACTTTCTCGGGGAGCTTGTGATTGGGTCGGCGAGAGAGGGCATTGGCAACACGATTGCTTTTGCCGGGAGTATGGCAGATGGTGAAGGTAAATTGGGCGAGAAAGTCCAGCCAGCGGGCCTGACAAGGGGTGATATTCTTTGTGGTGAGGATAGTGGAGGCGACGATGTTGTCGGTGCGAATGGTGAAGTACTGGCCATCGAGGTAAGGGCGCCAGACTTTAAGGGTGTAGATGACGACGAGTAGTTCCTTCTCATTGAAGTGATAATTCATCTCAGCAGCGATGAGCTTCTTACTCGCAAATGCGATACGGTACTCGTCGGGAGGTGCTTCGGATTGCGTGGGGAAATATTTGATAGTGGGGGGGTCGCGAGGGAAATGTTGGGATAGAACAGCGCCGAGGGCAAAGTCCGAAGCGTCGGTGGTAACGTAGAAGTGGCAAGAAGGGTCGGCGATCTTGAGAACAGGGGCGGTAGTGATGAGGTGTTCGAGTTTGTCAAAGGCGGCTTGGCGGCGTTCGGTCCATGTGAAGAACTCGGTGGCGCAGGTGAGCTCATGGAGTGGATAGACGGTGTCAGAGAAGTTTTGGATGAAGGGGCGGTAGTAGTTAGCGATTCCAATGAACGACCGAAGTTGGAGCAAGGTGGTGGGAGGTGGGAACTCGACGAGAGCGGCGCCTTCGAGGGGTCCATGCGGATGCCATCAGCAGAGACAATGTAGCCAAGGTAGTCCTCGCTCGAGGCGGCAAAAGTGCATTTGCTAAGCTTAGCGTAGAACTTTTGCTCCCGAAGGATGGAAAGTACCTTCTCGATGTGCTGAAGGTGGGACTCGGAGGTGGGACTGAAGACAAGGATGTCGTCGAGGTAGATCACGACACAGACTTTGAGGAGATCGCCGAAGATGTGGTTCATGGTGCACTAGAAGGTCGTTGGGGCATTTGTGAGGCCGACGGATCTGGTGGAAGCCACTGCGGAGGTCAATCTTGGTGAAGTAGTTGGCTCCGCGGAGGCGATCAAGAAGTTCAAATATCTGAGGGAGTGGATACGTATTCTTGATCGTGATCCAGTTCAAGGCGCGGTAGTCAATGCACATGCGGAGCTCCAAGGTGCTGCCTTTTTCAACAAAGAGACAGCTAGTTCCAAAGGGGGATGAGCTAGGCTTAATGAATCCTTTTTCAAGGAGTTCATTGAGCTGGCGCTTCATCTCTTCGGCCTCAGGGACGGAGAGTTGTTACGGAGGGCGGCAAGGAGGAGAATGGTCGGGTTCGAGGTCGATGGTGGGAGATACACTGCGATTAGGTGGCAAGCCGTTAGGAAAGGACTCGGGGAAGACGTCCTTGAAT